TCCCCCCCCCCCCCCCCCCCCCCCCCCCCAGTAACTCACCTTTCTCTTTTTTGCCATGATTAGAAATGATTCCCCACAAAATGAGCCCCCAAACAAGCCAGCTTTTGAGTAGTGATGAAAGAAGCAATTTTGTTCTCAACTGTAATTTGTCTTACTACAAACCTTCCTCCTTCTGATGATTGCATTACCCTACCTAATCTCTTTGATCACTGTATGTGTATATCTAGGTCTACAGCTGGGTGTGTGTGTTTCTCTGCAGACCCTAGGCAGAGTCCAGAATCTGCACACAGAGTCATGCACTGCTGTTTCCTTGCGCTCACCCCATTAAGCTCTTTGCTCTGCTTTGTGCAGTACACCGCCTTGAGTTTGCAGGGAGCTGGCCTCTCCTGTTCTACTTGCATCCAGATCTCAGCCCAGGCCTCCAGCACATTGAAGTGTGAAAAGTTGTTGTGTTTATTAGCTGTGAACTCGTGGACCAGAATGAACCACAGCAAGCCAGGCAACATTCCATGCTGCTGCCTGAAAATAACAAGCAAGCAGTAGGACACGTGATAGAGGTGCCAAAACAGGGCCACTGGTCTTGGTAGCTAGCGGTCCTGACATTGCATTGATACTAAGCCACAGGTCTTGGTAGCTAGTGGTCCTGACATTGCATTGATACTAAGCTGCCACTTTATGGTGTGCTTGTCAGACCAGACAAATGATGTCTGAGAAGTCATGTTCCATATTGCAGGAGTGTGGATCCTTTCCAGGGTCATGTGATATCCTGCAATTAGCCATCCATGACAGAGAAGCATCAGATTTTATTAGAACGTTTTGAGGCATGGGTAGATTAGATACCAATTCAGAGAGCTGATTGGTATGTGGCTAAAACAGTATTCTCCTTTTGACTCCCTTCCCTTCCTTCTGTTTTGCAGTTCCTAAGAATTCTATACTGTTTTGAAAGAAGGCTGTCCATCTAAATTCTTAAATTACTAAGAATTCTTGCACAGCTATTATCAGTGAACTAAGAGAATCATATTTTAGTGATGTGTTATTAGGAACGAGTCACAAGTTAGCAAAAAGCTATGTTTCCCACGGAAATCGGTGCAATCTTTCATTGAATAACTCTAACTAGAGGTTGTAAATACTTATTTAGTTAACGGTAGCAATGGTAAGATGCTTTCAAGTGATTGGTACAGCTTATTTACATCTTACCATGCAGAAAGGTCCAGGGAACATGTGTTCTTTCTGCCTTAACAAATGCAGACAGTGTCACCGGCTAACATAGACATTAACACCTGAGTGGCTTCGATTTCTCCTGCTCCGTTTGGTTGTGATCATTTTTACGAGTCTGCACTTTAAAACAAATCTGAGGTCATAATTTTGTTAAAGATCTTCAACTTTTCAGAATGGTGCAACTTTATATGACAAAACAGTTGCCAGTAAGACCTCACTGTGCTTGGCCGCCCTCTCCCAGCAGATGTGGAGGGTGAGGCTGGCAGGGCTCCACTCTCCAGAACACCCTTGCCCTTTCATTTACCGTGCCATTTCTTCCATGCTGGCTGTGTGTGCGGTTTCATTTAGTGTTTGGAAGATATTTTATGCTTACCACAGGAGAAAAGGAAATAATATGTGGAAAAAAAAATGACTCGCACTTTAGAATACTTTGAGCCAAGAATTTGGAAAATTGAGTTATTTTCCTTACTTTTTTTTTCTTTTCCCTTATCTCTCCCTGTTTTCTTGTCCTCATTTTTGTTTATTGCCCCCTTCCTTTTCCTTTTTTTTTCCCCACCTTCTCTTCTGAAAAGATGGGGTTAATATATCCCAAATGTCTACCACATGCTCAACATTTTACGTCCATAAAGGAATTGTATATTGCATTATTTTAAATGTGTACATCTGAATGCTAGGAATATTTAGCATAGAACATTTCTGAATATCTTTTAAGGTTTCAGTTATGGAATGATTATAGTAATTAAGACTAGCAGATAAAGTTAAAGGTTGCATGCCAGTATCAGAACAAGGTCTTTAACTACTGTCAAAAAGAAAAGGTGGGTCTTCAGATACGATTCCGCCAGTCTGCTAGGTAGTTGAGTGGGCTTACACAATGCCGTTTAGATTTTAGATGGAGAAATACTTGTTTTATTTTAAAATAAATTGTCACCTGAAAACAATAATTCTAAAGAGGTCAGATGTTTGCTAAATTTTTCAAAAAGTTATTGATGAGGAGGTAGCATGTATAAAATCTAGATCCATGAGTGGTTTCATGGGTGTATATATGTAAATTTTCGTGGAGTTGTATGTGACACATGTGTCTAGTATTTGTTATGTGAGTTATAGTCAAAAAATTAAGAATATGTCTGCACTAGCTACATCTTATGCATTCTCACTGAACTGTAGATAAAACACACCCAGATAGGAATTTCGGGAGTGCATGTGTTCTAGACTCTAAGGCAAAAGCCCAAGAGTCCCCACAGACACCTGCCATGATTGTCCAGTTACTGAGAGCAGGGATGAAATAAAAAATCAGGCTTTCAATCGACACAGCTCACTGGGGAGCGAAAGAGAGCAGAGATTCAATGACCCCGCATCAGTCTTCAGGGTATTAACAGGAGTTTCCACTTTAAGTAGAGGGAGTATTGGCTTAGGGGCAGGTGGTAAGCAGTGGCAAGCAGTTCCTGGTGTGCACGAGGTCTGGCCATATCAGATCTGGCTCTGCAAGTGCTCCTGTTGCTTGTTCTGCAAGTCTTCTTGCTCTGTTGCTTGAGAGAACAATACAGCTTTCCTGTGGAAATCGACTCTGCTTGGGGGTGAGCTCATCAAAGGGAATGTGTTGCAAAGCCCTGGTGTTCTGAGAAGCTGGTGTAACTGCAGGTTTAGGACAACATCTGAACCCAAAGACTTGGTAAAACCTGACAGTAAGATGCCTCCATTACTGTCACAGTTTTACCTTCCTCCATCAAGGCCATTGGGATAGGGTAGGTAGTACTGGCTTTACACTGACAGGGGGATTAACATGCCAATGTGCAGTTAAGCAGGATTCTGACCTAGAGTCAATACAAAGCCAACAATGCAAGATGCAGACAGGGATGCCAGGCTTGTGTCCTGCTTCCAGCAAACTCATGAGTCCAAGTAAAGCTATAGTGCTTCTTAGAATAAACTGTTTCTAAGCACCTGTTAGTGTATGTTCAAGGGATCTTTATATAGCCATTCCAATTCCAAATTAGGCGTTTGTACTTACCTGCCAGCTTGCAGGGACATGTGTGTACACACACATCATCCGCATCAAGGGGCAATCTTCGCAATTTTGAGTTGGTAACAATCATCTCATTGACATTAATGGCACATAATAAATGCCTTCTCTGAAATATGAGTCAGATTTGAATAATACAAACAGCTTTTATTTAAACATAGTAAGTGTAGTTCTAAAATAGGATAGGCTTACTAGCGAGGACTCATTAGGCCTCCTCACTCATCACTGAGCTGGCAGGGAGACTTGCATACATAGAGGGTCATGCTGCTTCAAGGGCCACTTATGAAGGACAGTTGGTCAGCTCTTCAGCTATTCTAATATCTTAATGGCATGAACTTTAGTTAGAAAAATAATCAAAGCAGAATCGTACACACACACACACACACACAGGAATGCCAAACTATTGTTTACTTCAATCACTATTTCATATTTGAAGATGACATGTTGTTGGAACATTACAGTAATCTACACTTGTCTCCTTAATTAGTATTTTCTCAAAACTCCTGGGTGGCTGTTCAAGCATAATTATTTCCACGCTTTGATAAATTATCACAGAAGCTTCCAGCTGAATATCCTTCAGAGGTAGCCAGCAGATATGCTTCCTATAGGTTTTCTCTTCAGGATTACCCAGTGTACCTACTGTATGTTGGAAGACTGGTGAATGAAGTGTAAGTATTATGTGTGCTGTAGTAATTAGAGTCTGGTCTGTCCATATTTTTGTGGGGTCCCTGCCCTGGCTGCACATTGGGAACACAAGCTCATGAAGAGGTGACAGCACACTTGTTTTTCAAAGAGTCATTTTCTGCTCTGTGTGGTTGCTTAATGAATGCCACTTGAGGGTAACATTGATATTAATATTTGATTGTTCCACTTATGCCTTATCTTTATAAAGTTTGTGTCGATGAAGATTTATTCCAAACCTGATTCATGTGTAGCTAGCCATCACAAAATCTCCAATGTCCAGTTCACTAATGTGAGAGTTTTAAGGTGCAAGCAATGCATTCCCTGTTTTTAGAAGTGTATGTATTGAGACTCCCTCCCTGCCCTTCAATTTAATTTTATTTTTATATAAAAACCTAGGGCTGTGTTCTGTGTCACCAAGGCAATGAAATGAAGGACAAGGTAAGGGCCAGCAACATGCCTCATTGGATGAAGGCACTTACTGCTATACCTGATTACCTGAGTCCAGCAGAGAACCAATTCCAGTATGTTGTTCACTGACTTACACACACACACACACACACACACACACACACACAAATGTAACTTTTAAAAAATTAAAATTAATCAGATGCCAAGAGAGGTGTGAGATTGGTACCTTAGGTTGTATTCTGTTTGCTTCTCAGCATCCTTTGAGGTTGAGAATGTTGACCATAATACATTGAGTTCTTGTTAATTGATGAAATGAAATACACAAATATAATGGCAGATGCTTACCTTATGTTTATTTTTTCCTTAGTGTGTGCTGTATTTGTGGGCCTTGAAAATTCTTTACCCCAAAACACTGTTTTTACTTCGTGGAAATCATGAATGTAGACATCTAACAGAGTATTTCACATTTAAACAAGAATGTAAGTACACTGAGCCTTTTTCCTTCAATGTCATGTATATAAAATTATCATTTTAACTGATAAATGAAAGCATATAGTATTACTGTTCTTTGCATAAAGGTCAGAAGATTTGGGTGGCATTATTTTCATGCCATCTTTCTAAACATAGGCAGTTTTAAGAACTCATAATTTAATTTTAGATTATGCTTATAATGATAGCCTATAATGTATTTTGATTATATTTACTTTCCCACCCCCTCTAATGCCTCCCTAGTTCACCTCCACCTCCCTACACCCAGAACTTAAGTGTTTTCTCCCACCTTCCATTTCCAAATTGTATTGCTCATATACTTCTATGTCCCGACCTGCAGGACATCATCCTGGGGCAAGAGAGTCAGAGATAGGGAATGGGGACAAGAGACGCAGAAAGAATGACCACAAGACAGGATTCTGATCAAGTGGCAAACTTTACTTTTCTCAGACTAGCTTATATAGTCAGTAGAGCAGGATATGAGGAGGGGCAGAATGGGTTGTTTGTGCACCAGGTATTGCTATAGGTAGGATATTAGGAAGCCACAAAGAGGATGTTTGGCAGGGTAAAGAGTTCATGAGTAAGAGGTCCAGGAAGGGTCGGTTGCCTAGGTGACTGAGCCTGTGGGTGGAGGACTGGGTTAAGTAGTTTCTTTTCTTGAGCTGAGGTTCTAAGGAGCTACTATGTAAAGGTTAACAATGTGGCCTGCCAAGCATGGCCTAGGATCTCATGCCAAGCCCTGAGATTTGGCTCCCAACACTTCTAGATGTGGGGCCAGCCAATAGAATGTCAATCCATCCTGAGCCACACTCTTAAAACGAGCTCCATCTCCTGTAGAGGCTGTCAGCCGTTGACAGTGCCTCAGTCAGTAGGGAGCTCATGAATCCATTCTGCTCCCACGCTAGAAGAGGAGCAGAAAGATTGTAAGAGGCAGAAGTTGGGGGAATGGAGAAGAAAACAGTGCCTTCTGAATGTGACATGGCCACTGTCATGAGCATACAGTGGCTCTGGTAGCCTCCTCAAGACCTGCATGAGATCAGTACAGAATATATTTTTAATTACAAGTTTTATCAAGTGAGAGATTAATCTGAGCTAAAGTTTCATGCATGTCATAGTACACAGCTAGTGTTTAGGAAAGCGATTCTGCTTTTCAGTTTCACTTGAGTCAAGAAAAGAAAATGGGGGCCAAATTGGATCTGTGTTTTGCAGCCACATAGATGCCAGTTTCTAGAACATTAGACCAAAAGAAAGCTGAGGCCTCCCTTTAGACACAGGTACTTGGGGTAGGAAATGCTTTCTGTGAATTTTGTTTTCCTCCTGTCTGTTTCCCCCATTGTTTACTGCAACTTTAATTCTTTTTCTCTCTGTAATTTGGTTTTCTATTCAGTGAAGCATACAGACTTTCCTAAAAACATTAGCTGTGAGTCAATGTGGGGAAATCAGAACGCTGTGAGGCAGAAAATGCTTCAGGAGGTTCCTTGGCTGAGGCTGTTCTCCAAAATCTTAAGGGAATATAAACTAGCTATTGGGCCTCTTTCTCTTAGCTTCCATGTATTGAAATGTATGTGTATACATAGACAGATGATAGATAGATACATACATACATAGATAGATAGATATGCAAGTATGTACAAAGTTTTGTATTTACTAGACAAAAAAAACATAAAAGTAAACAATATGGATAAATAACAGAAATAGAAAATACTCTATATGAAAGTTAATCTATGAATCTTGGAAATAGCATATTGATTCTCTTTTGAAGGGTCACATTCATATTATCCTGGCAAGAAAACCTTAAAAAGAGACAAAGAAATTTCAATGAAATGGTCCTAGTCATAAAGGCATGAGAATAAATTTTTTGATTTATTTCAAAGGTAAAATAAAGTATTCAGAACGTGTTTATGATGCCTGTATGGATGCCTTCGACTGCCTTCCCCTGGCTGCACTGATGAACCAACAGTTCCTGTGTGTACATGGTGGTTTGTCTCCAGAGATTAACACTCTAGATGACATCAGAAAAGTAAGCTCTATTATTGTCCATGTCTCCTCACTCTCTGTCCTTTAGCAGATGCTGGAAGACATTAATTGTCCTGCTCTGGCACTACTAGCATCCTTTCCATTTAAAATAAATGAACGCACTCCTGTCTCCCTGATTTGTATCAGATTTTTAGCTTGAAGGAAAGTTACATCTCTAGACCCTGGGGCTCAGCATGTTTGTATCAGATTTTTAGCTTGAAGGAAAGTTACATCTCTAGACCCTGGGGGTTTGGCTCAGCATGCGACACATGTCATTAAAAATATCATGTTTGATCTCTAAAGCATGTACGCAGTTTCATTTTCCTTTTTTTCCAAATAGCCCATCATATATTCGTGATATATTATATTGGAAAAGTTGCTAGGCTTTTGGAGAATATAGCACAACTTGATGTTTATAATGTCTTTATCATGATGGCCTTTGCTATTGTTGTTGTTGTCCCAATATAAAATATTTAAGTCAGCATTTAGCAAAGGCAAAGACTATATTATATTATATTGACTGCATAAAAAGCACTGACATTTTTTCAGAAACATACTTTTACTTGTTTACTGTCACTATTGTTTCCAACAGAAGGATAACTGAGGTGAAATGAGGAGAAGTGTATTATATACTTTTCATAAAACAATGCAATAATGCATGACAGTGCTGTACAATAGAAATTATGTTTTATTTCTCTATGTTTATATTTTGATAACTGCAGCTATGTAAGAAAAGACATGAGAGAGTATCAAACAAAAAAGACTCATTATAATTTTGGTGCCCAAATCTCCAAAAGGCAGCACAATAAAAACATTTTCTTGAATCATCTGCCCATGTAGTTGTCTAACACATGGCATTTGTGTGTTTTAACGTGTGGAACATACTGCATCATAATTTGGATACAATTTTCACCATTGAGCTATTGAGCTAAGAAATCAAAGCCATATTTTCCTTGAAAGAATTAGTGATGTATAAAAACTGTCGCAGACACCTCTCCCTTCTTTTTAGAGGCCTAAGAAAACGGCGTATACTTTTCCAAGCACAGAAGAGAATGTGGAAGTGATTTTGATCCCTTTTTACTATTCTTGCCAGTCATTTTAGAAAGAATAAGTTGCTTAAATTATTCTGAATTGCTGTGTTTCAACTATTAAGATTGGAATTTGGCTGAGATTTTCTAGAAAGATACATGGTGTCTGGTATTTATTTGAGCCTGGTGTGTTATAAGTAAACTCTGGCTTCAAAGAAGTCATACAGTGACCTCAGTGCCAGTGAGGATACAGATCTTGCTCAAGTAAAATCTCACTTAAGATTTCTTCATATACGTAACTCAAATGCTTCCTATGAGTCCACAAGACCCTATGGTGTCATTTGAGTAGTTGATAATTTTTTTCTAGTTTTCTTGAGCTTGAATGTTTCTATTGCTGCCTAACAAATTTGTATTCTCAACTTCGCAACAAGTTAATTATTTGAGCTGTCTTTGATTGATATTAATTTAGTAAATAATATTTTCCACTGTGTTTAATGATGAAATGAAATAATCAGGCATCCTTGTATACTAGTGACGTTATAACTGATCACAGCAGGGACAGTAGAACTTGCAGCAGTACAAAGCAAACTTGTTCCACTAACAAATGCCGGGAACCACAGACATCCATGTGTGTTGTACTTGATGACATCAGCAAGTTCATGGGCTTAAAAGAGTGATAAAAAGTGTATCAAGCTAACAGGGAGAAGTGGTGAAAATGCATTATCTACCCCTTTTATTGTTTTAAAGGTGAAAAAACAGAAAGGAAATAGCTATTGAGCTATTGTATTAAACATGTAGTCACACACACACACAAAGATAAACATAAACTTTAAAATGGATAATCATTTTTATAGGGCATACTGTTCCTCTAACAATTTTTACTGGAATTCACAGCATTGGGAAAATAACACATCAAATTACAAGTATATCTCTATGTCATAAGTATCTCTATTGTCATGAAATTAGTGTTTGTTTTCAACCTCAGGAAGCCACACATTCAAGTCCTTCCTTGTGAACTCTGTCATTAAGATGCAACTGACTTATTTTCTCAGGATTAGAGGGAATAATATGTTCTTTCTTTCCTATTGGAAAGTAATTGTGTTATTATGTTTTCCTTTAAAAATCAAACAAGGGGCTAACCAGATATCCATGGCAGAGACCTGGAATTTGGTTCCTAGCAGCCATGTCAGGTGGCTCCCAACCACCAGGAACTCTAGCCTCAGGATCTGCCACCCTCTTCTGGCCTCAGTGGGCACCTGCACTCACATGTTAATACCAATGCAAGGATACACATATAACACCATTATTATTTTAAATAAGACTTTAAAAATTAAATGAAAGCACATTAAATAAGCCTCAGATTCCTCTCTGTGTGTTGATGTCCTCTTGTGTGAGGCACTATTGCTATGTCTTCTCGGGTTGTCGTGCACAGACTGTGGGAAGAAGATGACCAAGCAGTTTATAGCTGGAAAAGTCATTTGAAGTCCCCAAAGAAGACACTAAAGCATAGAAGTGCAAGTGTGCGAGTGGTTAGAGAAATTTGGAGTTATTTTAGTAGCCCACCCGTACTTGCACCAAGACCAGCTCCAGAATGGCATGTACTTCATCTAGACGCATAGGTGACTTCTAAGAAATGAGTCTCAATACGTCACAAAGCAAGTGGCTCCTCTTAAATTAAGAGCCATCTACTTTCAAAATCATTTTGTCAGATTAAAAAAAAACACAGGGGATTCTCATTCAGATTTTAAAGGACAGTTCTCTGCAGGAGGTAGACAGAGCAAAATCCAGCTGCTCCTTCACAAATAAACCACGAATAATTGAAATCACGATAGTGACTATGTCATTTGGATGGAAAAAAATAAGAGAAGAATTAAAAGAAAATGGGTGAAAGAAAAACAAGGGGAAAGTATAAGGATTAAAAGGCTAGGAGAGAGGCAAAGGGGGATGAGGAGAGATACTAGGTTTGTTTATTTCCTCATGAGGAAGAAGAAAGGAAAACCAGAGAAACAAGAGGAATGGAGATGAAGTGGGGATTGGAAGAAGGGTAGATGCCATTTCTCCCATCTGAGGCTGGGGCATGGCAGACGATTATCACTCAGCTGCTTTCCTGTGTTTTCTGAATTCTAAGTCTCCAAAGATGAGTATTTTGTTCTCTGTCTTCTATTTTTCTTAGTTAGACCGATTCAAAGAACCACCTGCTTATGGGCCCATGTGTGACATCCTGTGGTCAGATCCCCTGGAGGACTTTGGAAATGAGAAGACGCAGGAACATTTCACTCACAACACAGTCAGGGGGTGTTCATACTTCTACAGGTGAGGACCTGGCCCTCACAGGCTGGAACATGTCTTGCAGTGTTGGCATTTATCAAGGTTAAGTGAATATAGATGTCAAGAATGCATGTCTATATATAAACACATGTAAATATAAAATCTGTGAGGAACAGGAAAGGAATGAAAGAGCATTGTTAGGAGAGGGGATGGCTGCTAATGATAAAATGTACTAAAAATTGTCTCTACTGCATCAACTGTGGAGAGTTCCATTGCTTGCCTTGCTTTCCCTTCATCCATAAATGTACTCCTGTTTCACCAGTTCCTGGATGTCTGGGAATCCGCAGTTATAGAATGTCTAGGTAACCTAGCAGGTGCACATTTAGCACCTTGACAGGCCATGTTGAAAATGTCTTAATAGTGCATTTTACATTTGCAAGTGGGACTTGGATGCCCAATCATTTCAGAAAGGAATCTACAGCACATTTGGAGTTCTGTGTGCCTAAACCACTTTACTGATGGGACACCTCACTTGTTGCTGCTACAAATGTTACCCCTAAAGGCAATGTGGTGCCTTCCCGTGTGATGTAATGGTGTGAATGTTCCTAGAAGGAAATAGAATACGAAAACAAAATGGAGAATTTTAAATTCTAGAGCACATTCTGGGTTTTGTTTTATTCGCTCTTCCAACTTAAAAAAAAAAAAATAAGCCTGGTGTTCTCTAGAAATAATGTTCATTTCCACTGAATGGTTTTTGTCCAAAGAACTCTGTAAAACAAATCCATTCACACACCTCCCATGTCTACAGTAAGCTGATAGCATTCTCTGTGTAAATTTCCTATTCAATAGTGGAACATTTTGTTCTATACATTAAATTTTATTATGGATGAAAAGGTTTTCTTTTCATTTGTTAGTATGACTGGGGAATTAGTTTTTATCATAAAGTTGTATTTATTATAAACCATCATTCTGGGAGTTTTTTGTTTTCCATATCAATAGTAAAGCTTATTCGGAACTGAAATGTCAGGTTACAGAGATTATCTTGTGCTTTGCATGAGGCACTGAGGCTAATGAGTATGTGTGGGAAAAAGTTCTATAATTCTGAAAATCGTAAAGCTTCCTTTGGGTAATCACTTAACTCAGGTGTAACATTTTATGAA